AAGCAATACGATAAAACCAAGCCATACTTTTTTTGCGTTGAAAGAGGGTGTTAGTAATGAAGTCCTTAAAAGTAACATATTAAAAGGAAGCAACTTTGAGCGAAGTCACATTTATTCATGATTATGTGCTTGGGCTATATGTGTACTTTAAAATCAACTACTATCCTTACTATCCCATCGAAGGCTAACATCAGAACCAATATAAAATATAATTGCGAGTGTTGCAAGTATCTTTGAGGTTTACCGTTTTACGCCGTACGAAAAGCCAGCTATACATGTAAAAAGACTATAAAGAGTAACCTTCGCATCCCCTCGCCCCTCAGTCTTGATGGTTTCGCCTGTTAAACTTTAACTCCCCTCTTCCGACGAGCTGCCTGTTCTAGCGGGAAAATCTAGCGGGAGAATTGAATGTGGTATCTATGTTTACAATGGAAATTTGGTTTTATTTCTTGGATTTTTTCAATTGGGTATTGGGATAAACAAGCAGTGGGATCTATAAATTTCCAATCAGGAAAAATGATATGCCTTTATTATACTTAGACAATTATTCATATAAGAAAAGTGAACTATAACAATACTGCATAATTGAGTATTCATTGACATCCATAAAACAAGCCTGACTGAAAGAAATGTATTCTATGGCTTGTAAATTTCTCACGGTCTGATTGGCTGTTAGCGCATAATGACCGGTCATTACTGTATCTTATTAACCAAGCGCGAGGGCCGTACTGGAAGACTATCGGCCTGAGGTCTTGACAGTACAGACCGAGCGCAGTGAGGTCTGTCCAAAAAGATTGGCTAATAAGAGATTTATGATAGGACTGAAGTTGAAAGGGACCCAAGTGTGGTTTCATTCGGGACAGTACCCGTTCCAATACTGAGAGAATATTGACCGGCAATAGAGACTATATGTAAAAAAAAACTTAATAAACCCAGGATAGGCTAAAAATATTTTATTAGTCTATATTTGCTAAATTATTTGATATTTGTTTGTACAGCTTGGGGGACCTTTGGTCTATGTATTTGTAAATCCCTAAAAAAGTAAAATGATAAAAGAAAAGGCACCGATAAATTTGAATGAACCTGATTGTTTCTTGTGCTACTCGTAAAGTTTCTCTGAGGTTCCAGGCCATTTGGTGCACTTTTTGAGTGAATTATGGCATGTTGTTTATGGTGTATTATTTGAGAAATTAGA